CTTGGCAAGGAGGAGTCTCTTAATGTCTTTATTCATTAAGGAATCATTTTAATTTGACATGAAACGATTCTCCTTCAGTTAGTGGACAATTATGAGTGAAAGGACGACATGAAAAATGTGTCAAGTTCATAATTTGCGAATTTTATAATACGAAAACAGAGTTTCTCAATATCTTCAGAGATTTCAACACTAATTTTATAATCCTAAATTAATTCACAACGCGTTCATTCATCAATTTCACTCGTGTTTCCGTGCGTATACGCAATCAGCGGATTTCATTCATCGTTTACAAATAAACGAACGATGGTCGATTGAAAATTTCCGGACGATATAGCAATCACGGGACTTGACGAGAGCGTGCGAATGTTCTATACGTCGCGTTTCCACACACGCGTTTATTCAACGATTATCGCTTTCGCGGCGCTGCGGAGTTTTTCGGCGATTGCGAGTCATGGTCCACGTACCACGACCGGACGAAGGATAATTATGGTAGCGCCTGTAAAATAGTGTGCACGCAGTCCTCGTTCTCTTATCAAGTACAGTATCGTCCATAAGTGCGTTCGAACATGCAAGCTCATACAATTTTTTCCGTTTTGAATTATCGTATTATATTTTTCCATTATTTACAATATCAAATATTTTCTTCAAATGGCTTTCCATCTTCTCGATTTTTAGATGTCATACTTTATTGTTGTTACACGGATATAAATAACGAAGCGATGAGTAGATGCATAAAGTGTTTAGTTTTTCGTACCTCGTGCAGATTTTTTAATGGTCCATAGAGATTGTGTACAGAATATAAAACTGGAGCAAGACTTCTAAGAAGGATTGTACACACGTGTGTCCAGCTTGTTATTAACATTTTTCACGTAACCGCGCGAGCCGGTAATACCTGACGTCAGTATTTTTGTCAAATACTAGATAAAAAAAGAGAATGAACAGTGACAGCGTTGCACAATCTACTATGGGGAACAGGTTGCACTCCGTTGCGACCTCGCAAAACTGGTAAATTATACCAGAACCGAATCGCGTGTAAAATTAACATCGTATTTGATATCCGATGAACGAATCGCTTAATTGAAACAGTCACTAGTCAACGATTACTGGTTTTTGGAGCGAAAAGATGTATATCGATTATTTAACTTATGGTAGGCGTACATCAAGGAACGCAATAATTGTTTTAATTTTGAAAAATTGATGCGATCGAGCTTGAATAGATTTGATTACTGTCCTTCGGTTCATTTGCAAAGTAATAGCAGTGATCTGGTAATATCCTTGCTCAATTCTCACCGTAATATGCCTCCCACGTCATGAAACAAGTGAATTGACATTTATGGACTGTGATACAATCGGTATTTGTCATTTGATTCAGGTGCAATTTACTTGCTCGGTCTGTCTATAAATATCAATTGTATTCAACCTTGTTGGCCGATTGTAATGAGTATACTATTTAAAGAACGTAATACAATGCACAGTATATATTTTACATACTTTGAATTTGCTTCCAAGAAATGTTGAAAACTAAGAAATCTTAACGAAGAATAGGAATTTTCAAACTCATAATGATATCTTAAGTCATTAAAATCACGAACTAATTTATTTTATTGATACATTTTACTGATGATTCTCGTTTCACCTATAATTCCTATTCGATATTCTCAACCAACCATATCATTTCTATCTTTCGATTCTTCCACTTTCACTGTGGATGTTAAAAGTTGTAGGACGTTGACACAGTTTCTAAAACGAAGAATCGTTCAGCATCCGAAAAACGTTAGAAAACTGAAAAACACCATTAAATAAAATGAAATATGCTTTCATTAGCCGAGGATATACATATTTAGCTTGTTAACCGAATCAAGCGGCTATAAACAGGAAAACATTTGTCAAGCTACTCGTCGAATATTATTAGCAAAACGAATAATACCGGCGCTAACGTGTAGGATGATACGAGAATCGGAAACATTTGTCGTTTTAGCGCGGAACGATTAGATATGATCTCATGCTCGGATGACTGGATCACAGCAATTTACTTTTCGTGTCGCACGCGTGTAGAGAGCTTTCTCTGAAACGATACCTATCTGATGTCTGCCCTGGGCGTCCGCTCGTGGAATTACCTGTGCATACTACGACCCATTTTCCAATTGCCAAGAGACTTGTCGAAAAGAAGAATCGTCAAACGCAAGATGAAGCTCATGTTAAAAGATTATTGGGTCAAATGAAACCGATTGGTCTCCTGACAGTTTTACTTAGAAGAATCGATCAGATTCTTCTACTGGCGAAATCAATCGGTTACTCAGAGCAGAAATCGAGAACAGATTAACTTGAGAAAGTGACTCGATTTCGTTCTATTATCGACAAGTAACGAAAATAATGTGTTTAGGGAAAGTTCTTTTTCTTCTAACTTCGATATTTAACAAGTTACGTATGATTATTTGGCATTTTATTGATGTTGACAAAATCCGACCATCCCAGCGTCGAAACGGCGAACTTTTGGCAAAAAATTTCATTTTTCCTTAATTACTCCTAAACCGTTGAATCTACGGAAAAATTGTATAGGACCTTTCTTGTAGAGGACGACGAGATCTACAATTTCTGTATAAAATTTTTTCGCTAGCATTAATATTTAACGAGTTATTGACGAAAAACGAAAAAACAGTTTTTCGCAAATTACTCGTAAACTATTGACTCTAGCGACAAACTTTTACATGGAAATTGTAGATCTCGTCGTCCTCTATAAGAAAGGTCTTATACAATTTTCCCGTAGATTCAACGGTTTGGGAGTTATTGGCAAAAAACGAAAATTTCGAAGAAATTGAAGGGGTACCCCTTGGAAAAATCTCGGAAAAATTGAAAATTTTTTTTTCCTCAAAATATCGAAAAATACTTCAAATAAAAGTTGTAGGTACTGTTATTACCTACAAAAAAGGACGTATACAGTTTCTTGCTTTATCTAATACTTCAGGAGTGATCGATTAATTACTTCGTTGATATTGATTGATGGTTGGAACAAATCAGTGTGAAATGATACTGTTCACGTTATCAAGAGAATTGTACTAATTTTTAACAAATCTTACATCTGTGTGATTACTCTTTTGCAATCTTGAAGTCACTTTTCATAGAAATTGCATATAACATTATTTTTAATCAAATCTGTGACACATACGTATCTGTAGAAAGACTTTAGCACGTTTAGAAACGAGAAATCGGTACCAGTATAATTTCATAAAAGCATAGAACAACTATTTTAATTACGGTACGCTAGTTCAATAAATTTCATGATTAGACTATTCGAGATCGATATGTGGTTCAACGTCGTTATCGGGCAAGCGCCGTTTCCAGCGAAAGGAAATCTTGCGTGGGCACCGGCACGCGATAGTTTCCCGTGGATAACAGAAAAGAAATGGGCCGAGGGGCTGGAGGGGCAGTCGGAGGGCGAGAGAAATACGGGAAGGAAAAAAATAGAGAGGATTGCCGCATCGCCGCGAATTATTAACGGACCGTATCGGAGAAAGCTGAGATGGAAAATTGAATCGGCTTAATCGCTCAGCGACGCCATGTCTCTTGGAGAATCCAACGTTTAGAGCTCAAGAGATTAGAGGAAAAAGTTATTATTCTGGTATCTCTGTACGATATAAGGGAAAGTTTCACTTGTATAAAAATTGAATTTGGAATGATCCTAAAGCCTTATTCTAACGCTAATAATAATGCACATCTCTATGTTTAGTAACATAGTACATGGACCTTTAATAAAGACGTATTTTGCATTAAATACCACAATGCAAGATAATTGAATGATGACACCATTAAATTTCTCAGTAAAATGTTTCCACTTATTATTGGGTAATTAATTCATACACGTTTCATCTTGTGTAAGAATTGCTTTTAATCAAGCATCAAATATTGCTTTAAACAAATCAAACAAACGATTGTGCAATGAATTATATCTGGAATGATTTTGATTTTCATTGGAACATTAATTGTTAGAATACAGAAGCTACGATTGCCTTTACAAGTGTTATACATGTTCTCGGATATTAACAGTTCCCGTAGAAAGTTATTTTACATCCGCAAATTAATCTTTTTTAACAAACACGCAATTGGATCGCGTTGGGTCGGTGAATTAGTTCTTTACACCCACCTGTTTCTTGCTTCCTGCGTGTAATAAGTCAATCCCCATGAGGCATAAAACGAATCGAAGCATGCAGGATGGGCCGCGCCAGGGAGGATTTGCGTTAGTTCAGTGAAAGCAGGAGGCGATAGAAAAGGAACGTGATATCCTTTTTAATCCTCTTATTCCGCGAACCGGCTACTCTCTCGCGTACGAGTATCCTTGGCTTTTCCATTACCGGTCTTTATCGGAATTGTTCGGCGAAGTGAAATTCCTGACAGCGGGCGATAAACATTGAGAAATATTATTGCAATGCTTTGGGGTTTCGCTGACCACGGCTGCTGACGTTTACGAGCACATTTCAGAAGTATAAACAGCTCTCATTATACTTCTTTTTACGCTACAAGGCTTAAATGAAATTAGTCCGTTTTACTCTTTTCCTCAATTTTAATATTTCAAGTTATCCTTTTTGCTCCCAAAATAATTATAAAAGTATGTTAATTTTTAAATATAATTATTAGACTCTTTTAATGTAAAATTTGTGTCGTTGTTATTTAATTGTATTCTTTTATTAATCATCAGTACGTTGCTTTATTTTTTATATTAAAGTCTATTTTATTAACCTTGAGATTAATTTCCTATTGATTGTTCGCTCAGAAACGATTTTCCCAATTCAGCAAATGTTTTTTATTCTGATGTAATAAACGCGATGTTTCAAAATGTACCTCGTGAGACTAAGGGAAGATGAACATTAATTAACGAATGCATTTTTCATGAGTGCACCTGTGGTGGCAGCAACGACATTCGCTCATAGAATCGCACGTTGCGTCGCGAATACTCGCGAGGCACCGGGGATGAGTCGTAGAAAAGAACCACGAGGATGTGGTAGGGAGATGAAGTTGCGATCCCGCGAGGAGGAGAAGTGGGTCGTTTCTCAACGAGAGGCGAAGGCGAAGTCACTCGACGAGAACGCGTCGGCCACGCACTCGTTCGCTGCACTCAGCTGAGCACAGTCGTCTCCGATCCACGATCCGCGATCCATCCTCGTTAATCGTTCGCGGTAGACGCCGGGAATCATATTTCTGTTTCTAGGCGAGCGCCGGTTCCATTCAACGAAAATCGGGTGAAAGGTGAAAGATCTAACGGTACCGTTTGACACTCGCCGCGTGGTCGTTCCAGTCACATTATTATTCATGATTCATAAACAGCTATCAGAGAAGGAACATGTAGACGAGAGTCGTTCCGGAAATGATAAACTGAATCAATTATAGAAGGTGAAGTGAAAAGTGTCAAAGCCTCTGCTGTCCTTAAACTTTAACGCGTGGAAAGTGGTGAAAATCTATGTTGTTTCTTCTATGAACATCGTTCCTTCGGATTTCATTAAACAGGGTCATCGGTTATAGATTTTCCAATTTTCCACCGGTTTCTTCTATAGTTACACACGTACTCTATTCGATTGAAAGAATACCCGTGCGTCCTACTTCAGTAATAATACATATTCAATAAACACTCGCTCGGTCGGATCGGGAACAGTGGGTTCAACGGTACATAACTCGTCCACCATGAAAATCGCTCTTCGAGTGTTAAAGCCAGTAAATCCGCGATGAAGGTCCACGCGAGCGTCGTTCATTGACGCCACTTTCAACCTCGATCCGCAGCTGTCGCTCCGCAACCCGGTCACCGGTGCGGCTCAAGATTATGGGTGATATACGAGTGTTGGATCCGCGAATGGATCCTCGTTTAGACATGAAGCAGCCACGACCTTGGCCACCGATGTACCGCAGCCACCCGGCGAGGGGACCCTCGTTCTGTTATCGGCCAATGCCACTTGAGGCCATGGCCCAGTGGATGGCGCCTCACATGCCGGACTATAACTACGTCCCGGCGCGAATGAGCGCCAACTCGAATAAAGGGCGCGATTACTATTACTTGGCGCCGTTGTACAGAAACGCTATGCCACCACCGCAGGCTATGTCGCCGCTTCAGGTGCCCCCCGTGGCTGTCTCACCGAGGATGATGATAATGGAACCGAGAAGTAGGACAAAAAGCTCCGGTGGACATTGTAGGAGCAGCGCGCCTCCGTGTACTTGTTCCATGGGCAGGACCAGATCCTTGGAGGACGTCAGGAGCGAGATAAGCGAATGGGAGGATTTTCACGACGAGAATGGAAATCATTTGCAGGGGAAGAGCTCGAAGAACGGTGTATCTAGACAGACGAGGAGGTCCATGGAGAATCTTTTGGATGTTGAGACTGCTGAACAGCATGAACTAAATACCTTCGAAAGGGTTGGAAGGAATTGCAGAAAAGTGGAGGATAGGAGGAATGAGAAACCTGGAAGAAGACGTGGCAGCTACATGGTTTGTCGTCTTCTCTACATTCTTTTGTAATTCAAATCTCTTAGGTTTTATTATTTATAATCGAGGAGTTATGAAATCAATTCGAAACCCACTGTTATTTAAAAAAAATTAATTCCCTCCAAATCCAGGGAGGTAGAAATTAATTTTTCATAAGTAGTATTAAAAATCTGTAAATTATGGCAGCAGTAAGATTGCATAGATTTGATTAAGCGCACGTCTCTTCCGGTTTTGAATTTGATTAACGACGTGTTACGCTACGATGAACAAATTAGGGTGAATAATAATTTTCCACCAAGTGAAATCAGCTTTCACAATAATCTTCTCGCTAATTAAATATGTAATGTCAAGATCGACATGTAGGAGATTAATTAAATATAAATTCACCGTGGCAGCTACTATGTCCTTCGGACTCTAAGGTAAAGATATAAGCCAAAAAATCATTTTATGAAATGTAAATATCAATCTTGTTTGAATTCCACTTTTTAATCTCCCACATTTAAGTAATAAATTTTAATTGGTACAAACGTATTAGCGTAAACCACTTTTACTGGAGACTTCGTGCTTATTGGCACGTCTGTTGCATTTATCACGGCTCGTATGTAAATTAACGGTAACGACTTTTAATGGAAAGTGTTCCGCGGGTTTATTGCTCCAGTTTCGAGTGGATACCAACGCCTGGTTCCGGAAATCGGCGTGTATTACCGTCAATTACGCGTTATGTTCTCCACAACGTATATTCATACATGTGTGACATAGTATGTATATTGCTAAACGATCACGTTCTTGACAGTAGATCGCTAAATCTGAACACCTGCCCCGATGCAGAAACAAACGTAACAACGTTCGGAAAGGGTTTAATCGATTTCTTTCGCTTTGTTAAGCATTGGACTACGCCTGATTGCCTTTCTGTTAAGAACGATCTGATCTTTTATCTTCAGCCGTGATTGCAAAGTGATTTTGCAATATAATTCTGAGTATCTTTATCACGTACAATTTTCACGTAATAATTACAGTGAATCATAGTACGAGAAAAATGGTCTTCAGGATGTGTTATGTAATTTGCTGCAGTAACAGTATCTGTTTAATATTTCATATTGCTTATCTATTTCTAAACCATATTTTTGGAAATAACAAGCGATTGATCCATCTATCGCAAGAATTGTCCTAAAAAATCCACGTTCACATGAATGTCCTTTCTTTCCTCGAATATTCAATTATACAATTCCATATCCAGGTGATACTTAAAAAATAACGATTCGCCGTTAATGAGCCGTAATTTTATCGACCGCGGATAGAAAGTGTTCCCGATTGGCAGCCTCAAGTTAATCCACCGTTACTTCTTCAATAAAAAGAAAGAAGAAACCGAATTCATCAGGAACAATGATCGGGTCCGAGCTTCCCGATGGGATCTTATCCTTCGTTTCACGTTCCAAGGATCACGGTGAATTTCGCCTATTAAAATTTCTCGTTATGAACGTCGTTGATCGATCTTTGTAAACTGAATATTTAGAAATCGATAACTTAGGTGATAGGATCCGGTTGCACTGTTTCAAATCCATTATGGGCCTTTATATTCTATGGTAGTATAGTTTTACCTGAACCGAGTAAAATGTTGAATGGAATTTCAAGCCTGCTAGTTCTAATGCTTTGTATCCAGATTTGGAGATAACATCATGAGAGAAAACAAGATGGAATTCTGAAATTAAAATACATACCTTTTTGATAAGATTTCTACTAGGAAATTAATATCTCTTAAAATAGATTGTCAGAAGTAGTATAAGCAGCTCGAACTAGTTTTATTTTAAATACTTTAAATACTACTCAGAAAAATGATCTCAGTATTGAAATCTCTCCAAGATCTTCGTAAACTGATTTCCTCATTGCTCGACGGTGACTTTAATGCTTGATGAGCAAGCACTTTAAAGCATTCACCTAAATAAATTGTATAGGGTTCATTTGAAACGCATGGAGGACCACTGGACAATTAAAAGCTGGACACTTTCGAAAAAGCATATTTCAGGTGAAAGTGAATCCGCAGGTTGCGCAATCGAGAGGCGTGAAAGAGGACGTTTTACGTCATGAAACGCAGTTTCGTGTGAACCATTAGATTATTTTTTGACAGTTTTGTTTATTCATTGAGATATTTAACTATAAAAAATAATTAATTTTAATGCACTCGTAGCATCGAACTATAAATCTCATATTACATTATGTATTAAATTATTTATAAGGTACGAAAGTCTCTATCTAGATTTCATTCTTGAAACCGATTATATGTATAATTTTTTATGACGATTCTCATGGTCAGTCTAATTACGACAGTGGGCAGTCGCTGATACAATCATATTGTCCTTTCTATAATAGAAAGACGTTGAGTTTAGTTCAACTGTTAGCCTTGTTTGGTACGAGGGAGTATAAAAAACCTAATCACTTCGCTATTTCTTTCGAAGCTGTTGAATCATCTACTTTTTACGGTGTACATAATTACGTACACCATAAAATAACATTTTACCTCTTAACGAGTGCACTTACATCTAAAAAAAACAACATTGCTCAACTCTGAAAGTGTTTCGCTATCTCCTATTTTGCAAGTCTCTTCTATCGCTAAGTTTTCCTCAAGTTGTTACATAAATCTTACAAGCCTTTCTACAAGTACACGTAGTACCTTCAAAGAATATTAGCATGCCACTAAATTTATTTTTGTACTTTAAATATTTGTTAATGTAAAATGTGATCAAATAGACTTTTACTCTAAAATACGAGTAAATGCTTGTCAGCATTTTTTAATATGTGCACAGATACTGTCTGATGTAATATATTAAACTATCAGTAGCCTCTGATGAGACTTTCAAATTTGCCTATAAATGAGATAACGAGAATATAGCAACGTCGTAACCAGTTCATATAACAAGCGTGCAAACAGTACATGAAAAGCTTCTTACGCTTGAGGCGACTGTTCTACGAGCCAGGCATTTGAACTATTACGTGATCTTAAAGGCCGCTGGTTTAGAAAAATACGTCTTCTGAGTCTCGGTACTTGCATCGAACTTCGTTGAGAAAACTGTTTAATGTGCCGGTACCGGTTGTTAAGACGGTTTGATAAGAACAAGTTAGGTGCAAGTGACCGCTTAAATTCCTCGACAAGCGTCATTTCTCTCGTTGCCTTTACCAGTTTCAGCATTCGAATCGGGTTGATTATACTTGTGATTTTTCCTCCGATTACTAAGCAAACTAGTTCTTAATCCACTTACACTATTTATGTGTCTGAGGGCTAACATGCTGTCAATTCTATGCATTCTCAGATTTATGCCTCATGAATTTAATCTATTCCTTATCTCGATTTAAATATTCATTACTTTATTTTCAATATTTCTAATAAATAATTGTTTTCATAATCATTTAAAATAAAAAGGTTTTTACTACAGTTCTTTCTAACCATTGCTTTGAAATTCAGAATTTTTTTAACTATTATAACAATTTGAAAACGAAATGGACAAACAGTGTTGAACACTAATTAATTTCGTTGTCTTAACTCGAATTCTGACAATAATGACGTTTGTGCTCCTTTCTCTGACAATGCTCAAAGGAAACTTCTTCGATGCAATTTGAAATGGTGAAATTCTGCGTATACGCGTTTTGAAAGTTCTTTTCTGAGGAATCCTGATCCACGGTGGTCTTAAACCACGTCCACACGCTCGCAGCTTCAATTTCCTGCAACGCGAGTTGAAGAAGTGTGTCGCAACCCAGATCTTCGATGCTGCGTCTGGTTTCACCGGAACCCGCGAACCCTCCACAAGATTCTCAAATACTAACTGGACTACTACCCCTGACTTTGTTCAACACAATAATACGAAATTCGATAAGAACGTCAGAATGAAATTTCGTTGTTTTCAACGATGTTATTATATTTATTATCATAGCTGTTCGAACGTTGAAGAATTATGTCTTTATCTACTGTTATTTTGTTATATGTATTAAATTTGGCCAAAAATTTCTTGGCGCGAGTAGTGTAATCATCCATTAACAGTCTCGGTCTACCGTGGATGGAGAAAGGACACACGAGGTTTCCGGCTCGACCGGTTCCTCGTCAAGAGTGAAACGTCGAGAGCGATTGTGCGGACCGATTTGTTTCCAATGCACGAATATCACGACGACGCGTCCCCATCTTCTTGCAACATGAATACAATTTTTCTCAGTAATTCAAACATCTCTATTGAGCGATTCTGTTTGAAAGCTATTCTTTTATGCGGAAGTCAACGGGCTGGAACTTATGCAATTTTCGATCACTATTTCTGTCCTGTTTTTATGATGAGTCCTCGAGAATCGTGAATCATAAGAATAAGTACGATTTGCGAAAAGAAATTAAATAGCAACACATAATAATTCTATGACTATGCATATTATTTGATCAATTAGTACAATTTTGTATTATCAAGATAATAATAGTAGGAGGTTAACTGCAACTTATAGAGTGTTGAACACTAATTAATTTCGTTGTCTTAACTCGAATTCTGACAATAATGACGTTTGTGCTCCTTTCTCTGACAATGCTCAAAGGAAACTTCTTCGATGCAATTTGAAATGGTGAAATTCTGCGTATACGCGTTTTGAAAGTTCTTTTCTGAGGAATCCTGATCCACGGTGGTCTTAAACCACGTCCACACGCTCGCAGCTTCAATTTCCTGCAACGCGAGTTGAAGAAGTGTGTCGCAACCCAGATCTTCGATGCTGCGTCTGGTTTCACCGGAACCCGCGAACCCTCCACAAGATTCTCAAATACTAACTGGACTACTACCCCTGACTTTGTTCAACACAATAATACGAAATTCGATAAGAACGTCAGAATGAAATTTCGTTGTTTTCAACGATGTTATTATATTTATTATCATAGCTGTTCGAACGTTGAAGAATTATGTCTTTATCTACTGTTATTTTGTTATATGTATTAAATTTGGCCAAAAATTTCTTGGCGCGAGTAGTGTAATCATCCATTAACAGTCTCGGTCTACCGTGGATGGAGAAAGGACACA